ACCCCCCTTAAAAAAGCCGAACAATCTTTCCTTCTTCTTCAACTTACCTGCAACGTGCAATAGGTACCCAAATCAGTGTTCGAGAGGAGGCTGCAGCAGTAAAGCCTAGGTATCAAACTTGACACCGACCTCACTCCCAACGCCCTCCGCTGAATCATCGCGGAATACACGAAGCTCGTAGCTAATCAATCCGTATTAGGGCTCACCCAGCGCTCTCTCTCTCTCTCTCTCCCTCTCTCCTTCGTACGTTCGTACCTTGATGACGGGTGCGCGGCAGTCGGCGATCACGGAAAGCGATGTATAAAATGTGTTCAGCAGCGCCGAGAGGCTGATTCCGTTAGCTTGCACCTTCTTGGTGTAGTCTACATCTTCTTCGTTTAGTCTAGATTCATATATATATATATATATATATATATATATGCTAAACATCAAGCTCAGCAGCAAAGGCCGTTTCCACTTTCCGATGTTCATAATCGCGATTTTCGCTGGTGGGTACATACTCGCATTACTTTGCTCTGTGAAAAATGTTACGTCTTCCTCGTGACAGGAGAGAAAGCCAGGGCTTCACAGAAGCAAAGTAGATATAAAAGGCGCGCTTCTATAGCAGAGTGTCATGATGACCCATAGAGAGAACGTCACGTCACATAATCATGAGGTCTGTTGATAGCGGTCTTGACTCAACTAGGTGCCGGCACTCATCCCGAGTGATTAGACAGCTACTTTTGTCCCACATCCTTCCCCAGTCTACTAGTTTGTGATGTGATGAGATAGGGCCTTCTATGGAGAATACTAAGACATGATCTTCAAGTATCTAACCTATCGACTAGCATACTCCTCGAAGAACAAACGTCCCAGGCGGACCGGAAGCGGCTTCCATCCCAACTAAACCCTCGAGAAATCTACAGTCAATTTTTCCTTGTCCTGCCGGCTTTCGTCACAATCATCCCCTTCACAGAATCCAATGATATGCCCAGCATCACCTTCCCTAGGACTAGTAAGTAAGTGATCCATCGCAGGTGAAGATGGTGCGACATTCCCTAGACGGTCTTGAGCGAGCCAGGAATAGGAAACGGGCTCCCCCTAGAACCTACAGTGCCCCGCAACTGCTGTTAGCCGAAAATCATAAAACCGCGATTTTTCGCGACACGCGTTTTTTTATCTTGTATAACCATTGCAAAAATGCCACTTTAACGTACTCTTTTTGCTACGACGTTTAATAATCGGCTTATTCGGCATCATCTTTCTTTTTATTAACGAGGATTAATTATAAGCGGCTTTGCTTTTAATGCAAATCCGACCGTTATTGCAAAGGCTTTCGAAATACTTCGTAGCACGATTAATTATACTCGAAAGCAAGCTTTATTACGCAACGAAAGTACATTTATACCGAAAGCTGCTCGGCGGAAATTATATTCGGTATTCGACGAACGAATTTTATTACGATACGTTCGTTTAAATCTTAAGGATTCATACAAAGATGTTATTCGAGCGTGTAATCTCGATTGTAGAGAGACTACTATTAAAAAGATTTTAAGAAATCATAGAATCTTTAATTAAAAGTATAAAAAGCGCTTCGAACTTACAGAAAAACACGCGGCTGCTCGACTACAATAGTGTTTAGACTATCGAAAGTAGACGGTCGAAGATTAAAGAGAAATCGTTTAATCGAATGAGTGTTTTGTCGAGCGAGGTCGAGGAAAAGAGACCGAATGGGTTTTTCGCACGCTTAAAAAGAAATGAGATCGTCGGATGGTTTAAACATACGATGCGAAAAAGAATATAAAAGTGATAGTTTAGAGAGCTTTTTAAGACCGCGGAAAATCGAATCTTTACATTATAAATCGAGATTTTAAATCGAAAAAACACGGGTATTCGGCATAATCTTACTTCGAAGTCTTCGAAGCCGAAGTCAAGCTAATCTTTCGAAAATTGCTTCGTAAATATTAGTTTCAGCAAGACAATGCATCAATCTATAATGCAAAGAAAGTTTAGCTTTAGTTTAGTAAAAACAAGATTACTTTATTAATTAATTAGCCACCTTTTTCTCTCGACTTTAATCCGATCGAGCACGTTTAGTAGCATCTTAAAAAAAAGCTTTATTAAATGTTTTTTAACGTTGCGATCGATAAATCGAATTTAGAACACGCAAAGCAAAGGATAGAAAGTTGTTTGCAAGCTGCATAAGATATATTAGATCAATCGTTGTTCGATAATTTGTATTAAAGTATGCCGGATAAAATTGAAGCTTGTATCGCGGCTAAAGGCTAGCATATTAAATATTAAAGTTCGTACGCTTTCGAAAAATTAGCTTAAAAATTAAGAAAAATAAAAAGAGTCTAAAGAATAAAATGATATTTTTCTTATTTAATTTAGATTTGTAATTATTGCGTAATTAAAGAATAAAAAATGGATGTCTATTGTTGATTTGGAGTTCTCGCTTAAATGGCCAATAGCAGTTGCCTAGTACTGTACAGGTATGCAATGTCAAGGGACTCCAGACAGCTCAAGCGTCTCCAATCCACATTTGCAAATCTCTTGTCCACAAAATCAGCATCAAGGTTAAACAAAGACCCTTCAGACTTCTTCTGCTCGAGTACCATATGCTTGACACTGCCAATGACTTCGTCAATATGCGCGTTGAACCAGTTTGAAAAACGAGTGGGGGATCGAAAGATGGTACGATAACGAAAGACCAAGGCGCATTTGCGGACAGGGCGAAAAGCTTGTAGTATTCCGTCACCATGCCCCTGGATCATACGGTAGTGCTTGGTAGCTTCGTATCGGGTTTCCCGCCAGATTCCAAGCAAAGTGGTATCCTGTTCGGGGACACGGAGCATCCATTCGTTCGACTCGGGAGCACGTATGAAATACGAATACAGGTGTTTAAATTCGATAAGGTGGATGGTTGAAAGCGGCGAGAAGACCTTCCAGATTCTTAGGCGAAGTTCGGCGGGCAATTTCGGGAAGTGTTTGAATGTGACCTCCTCCTCATCGGCACGTGCTTGACTCGCGGCTTCGTGTATGATGATACGGGGATATGTATGCGCTTACTTTTCGTGGTTTGAACTACTACCGCGCCTTCCTCTCTTGCCTCATTTGCGGGTTCCAAAAAACACTCCGAGCCAGAGATTGGGGCAGCCATGATAGCCGCAGCATCTGCGAGCCAATGCAATCATGCGTTGAGCATGAAATGTCGGTTGTGTCGACGGGGCTGGAGGGCATCGGATGGTCAGAAGTGTAGTGTCGTTTGGAGTCATTTTATGGTCGGGCTTAGCAGAGGAGCTATCGCTAGCGTGATCGAAAACGGCAGGAGCCGCCCCTATTCTTGAATCACATTTTGAGCCCGCCAATTCTGTAAATGAGATGGTGAGTTATATTTTCAGAATCTTGTAGAAGCACCAAAAAGGAGCTGTCGTATAGAAGCCTGACAATAAGGCTAGACCTCATGGTCCTCACAAAGAAGTGCAAAAAAGATGGGTGGAAAGCTGGTTGATTGTTCTAGCTAGGAGGTGTGTGCCCTCTTATAGAAGATGGGCCTGTCTAGTGTGGCCCTAGTGGCTCTGGCAGGAAGCATGGCAGGCAGGGTGTTTACAATCTGGGGATTCCCGCATGGCTCGAAATATTGTCGTCACCAAATCGTGTTGTTTCTCGCTTAATGACTGAAGGCATTGATTGGATATAGCAACATCACATCACCATTGTGTAAGATCGAGATGGCTACCTAAGACTAAAAAATCTTGAGACGTTCTGCCTACCTTTATATTAAAAAAATCTTCATTTCATCAGGCTACAGTCGAGTGTGATCTAGGTCATGCATATCAATTACTTTCATCTCAAGATGAAAATTGAGACCTTGTCGCTGGGATGGCAGGCCTGCCGGGGCCAGCCAGATTAGCCGGGCTCGCTTGGCCGTTGTCAACATATCTGTTCGAAAATGTCCATGTCCGTCTACATCTTGAATATTGAGCATCACACGGCGGTAGTCTCGTGGACTGTCAAACATTTTTTGTTCATATATCTCATACATGTATGTACCTCCAAAAAATGTGCCTCCCAGAACCAGACCATATACGAAATTTTACGCCTCAAGTTTTAAATTATACAACACACTTACAGCTTCGAGGCCGGCGACGCGCTTCCCACGCTGGTGATCTCGTTGTACAGCAACCTGTAACCATGTTAGCGGAGACCCAGTTAATTCAAAGGGAGACGGAGGGAGTAAGAAACTTACGAAGTCAAGAAATCGGCATAGTCCTCTCCCGTGATCTGTCCAGCGAAATACTGAGCCGCAAGGTGGTACTTATTCCCCTTCGCGCCTTTACTCGACAGCTCATCCGCCTGCTCCTTCAACAGCTTGAGCGCGTACGCCTTGTCTACCTTCTTGCCCTCGGCCGTCGGCACACCGTGCTTCACCCACTGCCACAGCTGACTTCTGCTCACCTCGGCCGTCGCCGCGTCCTCCATCAGGTAGTTGATCGGCACACAGCCGACGCCGCGCAGCCAACCCTCCATGTAGCCGAGCCCAATGTTGAGGTTCTTGCGGATACCCTCCTCGGTGATCTTGCCGGGGACGTTCATGTTCAGAAGGTCGTTCTGCCCGATCTTGACGTCTTCGCGGCGCACGAACATCTGGTTCGGCGTCGGCATGTGCTTGTTGAAGACCTCAGACGCGATGGACGCGAGCGCTGGGTGAGCCACCCAGGTGCCGTCGTGGCCGGCCTTGACCTCGCGAAGCTTGTCTGCATACACGCCTTCCATCGCCTTGTCGTTAGCAGCCTTATCGTCCTTGATGGGGATCTGGGCAGCCATGCCACCCATGGCGTGGACCTGGCGCTTGTGGCAGGTCTGGATGAGCAGCTTGACGTAGGCGTCCATGAATGGGACGGTCATGGTGACGGCCGAGCGGTCGGGGAGCACGAAGTTGGAATTCTGGCGGAACTTCTTGATGACGCTGAAGATGTAGTCCCAACGGCCGCAGTTCAGGCCGGACGAGTGGTCGCGCAGCTCGTAGATGATCTCATCCATCTCGAAGGCGGCGAGGATGGTCTCGATGAGCACTGTGCCGCGGATGGTGCCGCGCGGGATGGCGACAAAGTCTTGCGCCAGGTTGAAGACATCGTTCCAAAGGCGGGCCTCCAGGTGGGACTCCATCTTGGGGAGGTAGAAGTAGGGTCCTGCACCGCGGGCAATGAGCTCCTTGGCGTTGTGGAAGAAGTAGAGACCAAAGTCAAAGAGGGAGCCCGAGATGGGCTCGCCGTCGACGGTGAAGTGCTTCTCCTCCAAGTGCCAGCCTCGGGGTCGGACAATGAGTGTGGGGAGTGCGCGGTCGGTTCGGAGCTTATATTCCTTCTCTCCTTGCTTGAAGTCGACTTGCCGGCGGATAGCGTCGTAGAGGTTGACTTGGCCACTGATCATGTTGTCCCAAGTGGGAGCACTGGAATCTGATTACGGGATGAGTTAGCCGATATTTCTTTTGCAGCCATAATCCAGAAGCTTGCTAGATTCTGTCCGCCATGACATACCTTCGAGATCTGCCATGTACGTCCAGACGTTCGAGTTCAAGGCATTTACAACCATCTTTCGGTCTGTAGGGCCAGTGATTTCCACTCTGCGGTCAATCAGACCCGGAGCGGGTCTGGCGCCCTTCCACGCATCGTTCTCACGGATGTGCTTCGTCTCGGGCAGGAAATCTGGCAGAGAGCCTTTGTCGAGCTCTGCTTGTCTGATCACACGTCGTTGCAAGAGCTCCTTGCGGGTGCCATTGAAGGATCTGTGGAGGAGGGCGAGAAATGCAAGAGCTTCGGGTGTGAGGATCTTCCGGTTGAAATCTGTCACTGTGCCAGAGATGTTGACGCCTTGAAGGATCGAGTCGGTGGTAGCCATTGCGTATGTGTGTGTGCGTGTGTATATGTGTGTGTGTATGTATGTGTGTATGTACGTATGTATGTATAGGATATCTCGTATATGTGGGATGAGAATGGGATGTTTGTCTCGATTCAATGAATTAGGAGAGAAGGAAGAGGTGGATGAGATGGGAGAGTGCTGATGTATGTGCTTTTCACACGTCAGGTGAGGTGGGGGTTGACTACAGCTATATCTACCCAGCAGCACTGGCCTGGGCCCGGGTGGAGGGGAAGAAAAGGCTTACGGAAAGCTCGTGAATGTGGGGAACCCCCAGGGACGGTCCGTTGATCTGCTGCTGCCGGTCTAGGTATCTAAGTATCTATCTATCGATCGTGCAGTTGTTATCGACACGGCGTTCAGCTTTCCAGATAGCAAACAAAGTAAGACGGTTCTCTCTTGTGGTTGTGCAAAGGGTTCCATAGAACAGCCGATGATGGCATCGCTGGCAAGCAGATAGACAGACATGTCCAGATATCAGCGACATCAGCGACATCAGCGACATCACCGATAAACACGTTCGTTGATAGACCTCGGCAGTCCCGCCAGAGATACTCTACCCCTGCAATGCCCGGCCATCTCGATTCTCCAATGTCTGGAGCCAAGCGAAACTAGAGTCACTGGCCCCCCAAAGCCGAGGCAGATCATCCGACTTCCGATCCTATTTCCGATCCTGCACCGCTCCGCCGGTTCATCCGCCCGACCGCCCGACCGCCTCATGTGATCGATCGATGGAATAGTTAGACGAGTTTCCCTAGCCACACCGCGATAACATCTTCAAGACTTTCTGCGAATCGGCGACGTTGGATGGATATTGATCTATTCCTCTCATACACTCACTCCTCTTATATATTCTCTGGTTGATTTCTAGGTAATCGTGATATCACGTTCTGGCGGTGTTGAACTCGGGCTTTTCATCATGATCATCCTACTTTCTACCACAACACCAGCAGTAGCCGATCACGTAGCATATACGCATAACCCAGCGGACGATCAAGTAGACAAGAGACTGTTATGGTAATAGATTATCATTTCTACTGGATTAAATCCTCAACCCTCCTCACCCACACCGTGAAAATGTTCACACCAAGGCATATTACCTACTGCAGAATTACCAACGCCTCAACGATGACTCGTCTCCTTCCCTTCCTGAGACGATCCCCAGATGGTGGTGGTCATCCCCAGACCCTTCCCCAACCCCGAACTAACCTCGCTCGCCAGCTCCCACTCACTCCGCCACGCATTTCTATCTTTCAACGGCTTCATATCCTCATCACTCCCATGCGACGCCCTCCTGTCAAAGCCATCGTCCTTCCACATTGATATGCTCCCATCACAGCTCTTCCTCCGCTCAACGGTAATGGAGACCTCTCGGGTGGCATAGATATTTTGATCGCCCGTAGCAGCAGCAGGGTGCTCACTCATCGACGCGTCCAGTCGCCGATGGACGTCCTTCAATCTTCCGAACATCTTGGTAAGCTGCGTCGCGACGGGGTTGGGTTTGGCGTCGCCGACGACGGCATGGTCCAACTCGTCTTCATCCGCGGATGCGATCTTTGCGATCATTTCCGCCATCGACATCTCGATCTTGAGCTTGACCATGTACGCGACAGGATGGAACTGCATGTAGCTGCGCACGTTGCACGTTAGCGAGAAATCTGATCAAACGTGGCGATACGTACACAAAACTGTTGTTCAAGCTCATCGTCCCAATGATGAGGCAATCCATGCTGAGTGAGAGGCATATAAGCCACTGGTTGTAGCGCACCAGGCGGTCGTACTTGACTAGTCCTTGGCGCACGAGTCTTTGCTTGACGATGTGGTTGAAGTAGAGATTCAACGCGCCACCAATTACGAGATAGAGGGACTTCTCACACCGATCCCATATTTCGTTTACGTAGATGTAATTCTTGGAGATTTGAAGTCGCGCCGGAATCCCTGTATTTTTTTTACTGTCAGCATCCTTCCTTTATAAAAGCGACTGCATCGTCGTCCCCGATTCATAGCTCTAGGAGTAGCTTACAGATACAGTAGACAGATATGTTGATTGCTGTGGTGAGAACGGCAACGCAGATCTTGAGCCTCAGTGCCTGGCGCTGGTCGACGAGGAGTAGCGAGACTCGGTTGACGATAATCTGGAGCAAGAGTTGTACTTGAAGGGCCCATGTCGTCACTGGGTATTGTTAGACCAAACCAGACGTGACTGGCAGTGTAGTGCTCACGGATGATGAAGAAGAACGTGAAACTATAACAAATTAGTCGCGTTGCTCCTCCCACTGGAAGCAATTCGAGATATGTACCTGTCAGGGATAGTGCCGTTGAGATAGAGCCAGCAGATGATGCTGAATATAAAGCTCACAAGGATTTCGCCCCATACCATGAAAATGTAGGGCGAATTAGCCCTGTTGAATCCATATCGCTGGGCGATCACGGTTGTCTGTTTGACGGCAGTCCCTATCGGTACATATCAATACACTGATCGTCATCATCTCAGACGTGACGGCGAGCTTACACGTGGTGAGAAAGCCAGAACCAAGAGTAAACCCCCAAGCAATAGATGCAATGACCAGATCAGCCCGAGAGACAAAAAGCGGCTCGAAATCATCTGGAAGAAATTTTATCATAATCTATTATAGCAGAACATTTGAGCTGCTTTATGACGGGACCGGGAGAATTTATCTTAGGGCGATGCAACTTAAAGTACTTTCTGGCCTCCAACGACCGGATGAGAAAGTCCGCTCGGCAGTGGCTTCTCTTTCCTCTATGATGTTTGCCTCTGAAGCCTTTGGGATGCTCCCTTTCGACGTCTTCTTACACGAATCCGAGTCATGCTGCTACAAGCCGTAGCCAATGAAATTGTAGTTTGGGAAGGACGGTTAATGCGTAATTGATGCAAACTTTTCAAGCATCATCCAGATACCTGAACTTTGGTATCGTTTCACGGGCCAAGCGAAACTAACGAAACGAAAGGTGTTGTGTATGTGTAGATCAGACCAGTACGATCACAGGACAATGATGGCAGACTTTATGGTGGCACCTTGGCCTCAGAATCAAACTCAAAAATCGTCCACCCAAGTCAGAGTGACACCTGGGCCACGGTGGAGCTTACCCCAGAGTACCATATCGAAGTTTAAACCAAGCCCCTTGATCGCGGCCCAGCATTGGTGATCACCCAGCAAGAGTCATTGAGGGGAGCCACAGTGGAGACACATGATCAAGCTCGTGGAGATCGCGGATGATTGCCGCCAAGCTCCACTGTCACCGAGTACCAGAAAGCGTCGTCGGTATCTGCTCTACATGTTCCCAGGGTTTGGACCTAACAAGCAAAAGAGCAGAGGGTATGGATGCGTAGTTACCCCAATGATGCGAAGAAGCGTACAAGGCAAAATCTTGTGACTTCGATCAACGCATTTCCCGAAATCAAAACCAACAATTGACACTGAAAGAATGACCTGAACGTGCTAAGCAAGGTCTCCCGGCACGAGGGCAACAAACCTCCTGGAAACAAACCCCAAGCTCGACGAAGTCCATCTGCGCGAGGGAATTCGAAAAGCCATCTTCGTTCCACGAAGCTCGATCTCCTCGAATCCAAACAACCAAACTAGGAGAGAAAACAAAATACAAGCTCGAACCCCGAATTTGATTGAGGAGGGAGGATTCGAAATGGTCCAAGGTCCGGCCGGTCATTTCGCATGATCCAAAAAGCCAAGAAGAACCCCCAAGAGCGACGAAGCAAAAGGGAAACATGGCAAAAAGAGGACAAGCAAATGATAAGAGCCTTTCGAGGAGGTGGCTGCCCCGAACATACTACAACTACTTAGCCCCCTTACCCAGATGACCAACAAAGTCTAGCAGAACTTGTTTGAAAAAAACCCCCCTGTCTCATCGGCGATCGGTTCAAGTGGCACCTGCCTCCAGCTCGTCCGGACACCCCCAGCTAGACCGTGAAGCTTGATAGTCATATAGTTTGTATGAGCTCCGATCTCTTATCTCTCTATTTCATATTTTCACGAGGCCTGGTTTCACGCGAACTTAAACTGGTGGTGTGACGAACGCCGAGGGGTTGCGTTCAGGCGGAGAGGATATATGTGTGATTGGAAGTAAACAAAGAGAAAAGGCAGTCATGCCGAGCCGAGACGGTGAAATGAGGGGAGACGACGTTTGCCATGGCGTTAAGGCTGACGTCAACCCGCACTCCCCCAAAGGACTAAAGTGTAAACAGCTGTGAAATGAGAAAGGGTTGCATGTAGTATCTCACGATTGGGCCACAATGGATGGAAATGCAACAAGTGCTACCATAGAAGCCGCAGCAATACGACGAGTATCCCGGCGACCACATCAATGGCTGCCACGAGAGACAGAGCAGAGTGGCGATCGTTCTACCCTAAACGCAAAAGAAGCAGGATTGAAGGCTAAGGTTTTCCAAGTACCAGGAGAACACATTATTTGAGTGTTTGAGAGGACATATTTCGAAAATCACCTCCTTGGATCTCACGGCTCATAAGCCGCCATCTATCTCACTACAATTAAACATACGGCGTCGTATTTTCAACCTCTTCCCAGAGCCCCCCCCCCCCCCCCCCCTTCGGACCCGTCATGCCATTTCCCCTGAGTAGCTTCGCTTCAATCTCCTCTCTGCTCTCCACGGCATAATGATGCAGCTCGATTCTCGTCCTGGTAAATCGGCCGCCTTTACGCCTCCGTATGTACCAACCCCTGAACGTAAATAAATAAGCGAGCGAGCTGAAGACAAGCGTCTCGGCGCCGTTACCACGGGATCAGATCCGAGTCCGTAGACGTCTTGCTGGGTATCTTGGTGTCAATATAGCAATTCGTTTACGAATTAGACGACGCTGCGTGATTGTGCTTGGCGGGAGGTTTTCGGCGAAGGAAAGCAAACAAACAATACTTTTCCATGGCTATTTCCCTTTTCTTCGCGCTCGTCCGTACAGATTTGGAGGACGCGATTTCGTGTTTTCAGAGGCCACGGACGCCTGCTTGAGCTGTAAGCTCTACGGAACAGCGGGTTGGGAAGTAGAAATAATTGGGTGTCAGTTTAGAGTGAAGTGACAAAATTACATGGTTTTTGACAACGCTGGACTACTTTAGTACTAGTTCCCAGGGATGTGACAGCGGCTTTTCAGTTGACGACAACTCTGTGCGAGACTTCAGTGGGGGGGGAAAGCTTGTGAGGGAAGGAACCGTGTGACTGGACGTTTGTGGTTGGAATCGGAGGTTTTTGGTGCTGAGTTCTCGGGGAAGGTTGCTGGATGTTTGCAGTTGGTGTTGCTGGTGGCTGATGATCTGGTATTCGTATATATCGTTCCTTGACTGCGAATCAAGAGATTGCAGGTTCGATCCCTGCGTAGGTCACCACTTCAGTGGGGGGGGGGGGGAGCTTGTGTGGAGAGGATGATATTTCCAAGTTCTCCTTGGTGGGAGAAGTCTATGTACTCCCCTAGCGCGCACATGCTCCTAGGAGGCCTGGCAGCCTCAGGCCATCACAGCGAGGGCTCTCAGCGGCCATGTATAGTATGAAAACTCTCTTATCTAGGTAGGTAGGCATCTTACCATCCGCATCGATACGCTTGCATGTAGCAATAAGTACGGCACCAAATTAACAGTGGCTCAGCCATCCCGTCAAAGCACCTAAGTAATGTCTGAAATTCTTGGATGGTTTCGATGCACGATTTGGGGAGTATAAACCATTAGGTTCCATGGTCAGTTTGTATGCAACAAAATTGAACACCTCCCCCAGTGAGCAGACAACGATTCACTGTGCTTGATGAGAAATGAAGGCACGAACAATCAAAGATACAAGGAATCAGATTCGGAGGCTATGATTAACTTTGAACTGGAATGATATACACAGATAAATATTATGGAATATGCACATAGTCATGATGCGAGTAGAAGATTCAAGGCGCTCGACAGCCTGGACATATATATATCTGCTGCTTGCAGCGAATCATGCTGACTCTCGAAAGCTTTGTGGCCGGTTCTCCTTCAACGTCTTTACCACGACGGCCTCCCCCCTAGCTATTAGAAATTCTTACCTCCCTTCCGGTGAGCTCACCCCCCTCGGCCATACTTGCCGATTGCCTGGACGACCCTTCCTCTCTGGCAAAGGTGTCAAATCTGCGGGCAGAATGACAGTAGCGATAATGATGACAATGATCCTAGCATCGAATCTCGACACCGAATATGGAAGGCCCTCTCAATCATCCATAATTCTATTTACCAAATCCTATACTCTTTCGCAATCACTCTTCTATTCTTGCCCTATCCCTTCCTTCTTCAACCCATCTTTTTTCGCAAACCAAAAGACTCTAATTAAGGATGAGCCATTTTATAAAAGCCTATTGCTCTAATTCTTAAGAAAATGACCTTCTTTAATAGAAATGTAAACACGCGAAGGTGCGCTTCGTAGTCTTAGAGCTCCAATTTATCGTTGTTCCTTTCACCATTTCAAATTAGAGGGGGGAATGATTGTAGAGAACGGCTCTCTATATTGCTAGGGACGCCTTAAGCTTGCTTAGCGTGCTAAGCGTTTTCTCTATTTGGCCAGCTGCTGCATGTAGCCAAATAGCCTATTTGCTCGAGTAAGCTAGTTGAGAGAGAGAACTGGTAGAAAATCAAGGCCAAGATTCGCACTCAGCTACGCACGTTGACCCTAGAGTTCACGACTTGAGGTGGTGCTTCAGACGAGGTTTGCACTTAATATTGGGTAGCAATCGCGACGATCGTCAAGGCTCCAACATTCACTCAGAATCCCCACCATTTGTTGAAGGCTCAGTGCATTTATTCGGTCCTTAATCAAGCTGGTTAAAACAATTGAATCTCCGGACAGAAAATTTATTCCAACGAAGCTTCTATGTCGCCTTTTACAACAGTTGGGCTCACGACAATCATCAAGTTTGGACCCGATCTTTACCGAATGAACGGATGAAAGTTTGAGTTTCCACCTCGAATTTGCCTCTAGGTCCATACTTGAGTTGCTAGATACTATCTCAAGTCAATTCAGGTGTTCATCTAATATAAGTAGAACAACAAGAGAATCTGCCGTGTACGTGTGAAGCCTTGGACACTTGTAACCATTCATCGGGCCTTCTGCAAGGAGCAGAAAGTCAGGCGATTCGAGCGTTCACAGCACCATGAATTCCGAACTATAACGAATACAACTTTCTAAAAAGTAGATACTTACAGAGAATGCGGCCACGAATCGAAATGGAGAGACGAAGAGATTGTATATAGACGAAAGCTATCTTGAAGGGTAAATGTTCTGCCGGAGCGAAGAAGCCAAACATACACGGGGGACTTCTGTAGAGCTCAACCTTGAACAGGCTCTTCCGGCTGGTTCTGGGACAGATACGGCGTCGCGGTATAAGTTGTTGTCAACTTTTCGTCTTCATCCCGTTGATGTCGATATTTGAATGGGCGATTCCATGTCCCGAGTCAAATAGCAGGGTTCCAAAGAAGAAAGTTGCAGCGGCTATTCCCGACATCGCCCGCTCTCGGCCCGGCATAGCTCCGGAAGCTAGTGGGAACTACTACTACATCATCTATTGAACTCCTCCAGAATCTTATTCAAACGACGGGTGATGACATCCTCCTTCTCTCAACTCCTCTACACAGCTTCCCACATCTCCAGGTCATCAATTGACCCCCCTTGAACTCTTTACGACCAATCCCTATTAATACAGTCCAATCATCATGCTGCGGTCAGCATTCTCAGCTGCAAAGCCCGCGGCGGCAGCTCCGGGCCTCAAGCCATTATCATTCGCGATGGCGCAAACCTGCAAATCAGCAGCTACAGCTACGACTTCTCGCTCTATACATACCGCTCGTATCACCTGCTCCTCAAATACAGCTACTCGAACAGCTTCTAAATCCCTACAACCCCGCTTCAACCGAAACTTTCACGCAACCGCATCCGCATATCGAATGGCAGCTACACGAGCAGAGACAGATGCCTTTGGAGAGGTGCAAGTAGCGGCAGACAAATACTGGGGAGCACAAACAGAGCGATCCTTGGAGAACTTCAAGATCAACCAGCCGCAGGACCGCATGCCTCCTCCGATCGTCAAGGCGTTCGGTATCCTGAAGGGAGCTGCGGCAACCGTCAACATGCAGTTCGGACTTGGTACGGCCCTCTGAACAATACTACATGAACAGGAGCTCACCAGTTCGACAGACCCAAAGATTGGAAAGGCTATTCAAGAAGCCGCGGCGGAGGTAGCTTCCCTCAAGCTCATCGACCACTTCCCGCTCGTGGTCTGGCAAACTGGCTCTGGAACCCAGTCCAACATGAATGCCAACGAAGTCATCTCAAATCGTGCTATTGAGATTTTGGGAGGAAAGATGGGCAGCAAGAAGCCAGTCCATCCTAACGACCATGTCAACATGAGCGCCTCCTCCAACGATACCTTCCCTACGGTTATGCACATCGCCGCAGTGCTTGAGATTGAGCAGGAATTGATCCCGGCTATCAAGTCTCTCCGTGCTGCTCTCCAAGCCAAGGTTGATGATTTCGAGGCGAAGAAAATTATCAAGATTGGGCGTACACATCTGCAGGATGCCACGCCTTTGACTCTGGCCCAAGAATTCTCCGGATATGTTGCCCAACTCGACTTTGGAATCAAGCGTGTTGAGTCATCTCTCCCAGATCTCCGCCTGCTTGCCCAGGGAGGAACTGCTGTAGGAACTGGAATCAATACGTATAAGGGATTTGCGGAAGCGATCGCTACCGAGGTCACCAAAATGACTGGCACCAAGTTTGAGACTGCCCCTAACAAGTTTGAGTCTCTCGCTGCTCACGATGCTATCGTTCAAGCTTCCGGCTCTTTGAACACTCTTGCATCCTCTCTATTCAAGATCGCTCAGGACATTAGATATCTCGGATCTGGACCCCGTTGTGGACTTGGAGAGTTGGCTCTGCCAGAAAACGAGCCTGGAAGCAGTATCATGCCCGGAAAGGTCAACCCAACTCAATGTGAGGCCTTGACCATGGTTTGCGCCCAGGTCATTGGTAACCACACGGCTACTACCATCGGAGGCATGAACGGACAGTTTGAATTGAACGTCTTCAAGCCTTTGGTCATCCGAAACCTCTTGCACAGCATCCGTATTCTCACTGATGGCATGAAGAGTTTCGAGAAGAACTTGGTTGTTGGTCTGCAAGCCAACGAGGATAAGATCAGCAACATCATGAAGGAATCGTAAGCTCCCTCTTTCTACCACTCGGTGATCGAAACTGATGAAACCAGGTTGATGTTGGTCACCTGCCTGAACCCGTTGATTGGATACGACATGGCCAGCAAGGTTGCAAAGAACGCCCACAAGAAGGGCTTGACCTTGAAGGAGTCGGCTATGGAGCTCAAGGCTTTGAGTGAAGAGGACTTTGACAGGCTCGTCCGCCCAGAGTTGATGGTCGGTCCGGAGGAGTATAAGAAGAAATAAATAGCTAAAGTAAAATGAAGGGGGTGGGGAGGCCCACCTGGATAGTTGCGCATAGTATACACAGGGAAGATACCAGCCTTCGATATGTATAACTGAGAATGCAATCACTTGTACAAGGATCAATACCAACGTTTTACTCGTACCATCTTTACGGTTAATGCTCGCTAGGAGCATAGTGTAACCAAACTCAAGCCAAAGGCGGGACATAATACTTGGAAGCTGTCGTCTTTGAAGTTCAGATAGAGTCAGTAGAATACAAAAAGGGCGGGCTATCGAAGACTTGAAGCAGGATCTTTACGAAGCGTAGCATGTGGCAGCCACATACCTCCACTCCATAGCTGCCGTCCAGAAACTTTTTTTCAGCACAAGGGCTTCTTCTTTTCTCTCTCTCTCTCTCTCTCT